CCCCCCCCCCCCCCCCCCTGCAGAAGGATGATGCGCCAGTGACAGGTGGCGATTTCTGCATGAGCAGCAGCCCGTCGTGTTGGCGGAGGACGGCCACCACGGCCCTTCCCACTTTGACCTTTGCACCCAGGCCAACAAGTTCTACCCCCCCCCGCCCCCGTCCGCTCTCCAGATGACACTGGCCCCCATGGCCCTGCCCGCCCAGGGACACAAGCCCATGGCGTGCCAGAGACAGGAGGCGCTCGCCGGCTCGCCGGGTAAGATCCCCGACATCAAAGGCGGCGCCGACCCGCCGATGGACGTCGGGAAGAAGAAGAGCGGCAAGGGGGGGGGCAAGTCGGGGCGGCGCGGGAGGCCCCTGGGCACCACCAAGCTGGCCGGGTACAGGACCAGCACGGGCCGGCCCCTCGGCACCACCAGGGCGGCGGGGTTCAAGACCAGCCCGGGGAGGCCGCTGGGGACCACCAGGGCGGCGGGGTACAAGGTGAGCCCGGGGCGCCCCCCAGGGAGCATCAAGGGCCTCGCTCGCCTCAACAAACTGGCCTACGGGGGCGGCGCCTGCAGCGGGGCGGCCTTCCCCTACCCGCTGCCCCACAAGGAAATCCTCCTCGAACCCTCCTGCAAAGAGAAGACGGCCCCCGAGTGAAGCCTCTGCATGCTTGCGGGGGGCCGGGGGGGCCGGGGGGGGGCTTGTGATCCTTCCCAGTCCGCTCTGAGGAGTTTTCTATTATTCGTGTTGGTGTCATCTGTGTGCCTGCCACCAAATATAATGTAACACTAGTTTCATCACACCCGCCCAGATGTTCGTGGAGGGGGGGCTTTTTATCTCGGTCTTTACACCGTGCTACATGTAGCAGCACCGCTAACGCGCAGGTTCACCGTCGCTCTTTGAACGCCACATGGAGGGACTTCTTATGCGTCACATTTGTAAAAAAAAAAAAAAAAAAAAGTGGAGGCACGTTCACTCTGGATGCAAACAGCCGGGGGGGGGCAAGTGCCTTGCTCAGTGGCACGTCATCGGTAGACCTACAGGACCCGTTCACTCACACGGGGCAAAAACACCTACTTGCAAACAACTGTTGAGAGGAGCAACAAGTCCCAGCTGGTGTTTGTTTACTGAACGTTTATGTACAAACACAGAGTCCAGCTGCAACGTGTTTGTGACCTTCGACCTTTTACTGAATGTACAATTCTGCCTCGCAGAGCAAGAAGAAGATTCGGTCTTAAATTAGCAAAAGTTAGTGATCAGAATTCATCAGTAACACACGATCTGTGTCTGTGGCATTATGGGAACAATACAAAGTACACATATATATGTGTACTTCTGTGTGTGTGTGTATATATACACACACATACTTCCCTCTCTACACTGTGTGCACAATTATTAGGCAGGTTGTATTTTTGAGGATTATCTTTATGCTTGAAGAACTACAGTGCTCTTGGTCGATCCAAAATAACAATAAACCCCAAACCTGAATATTTAGGAGAGTAAAAGTGAGGTTTTGGCGAATATCTCTGTGTAGATTTCCTCTCTCACTCGTTTAAGTGAGAATAATAAACATTCCTGACATTTAAAAGCAGAACGTGACCTTTAGCCCTCCTTCCTTTCACTGACCTCCTGATTCCTGATGACGATCAACGTTTGGTTCCTTCTGTCTCTCCTGCTTCAGAAGGCTCCACAAGTTGTCCACAGGGTTGAGGTCAGGTGAGGAAGGGGGCAGGTCATCGTGTGTTCACCTTTAAGGCCTTTACTGGCCACGCGGTGCAGCAGTACATCGGTGCAGGTGATGGAGAATAAAATCATGGTCTTCTGAAAACTGGCAGTAGGTTTAGGAGTTTATTTTTAGTCCATGTTCAACCCGAAAAGGTCCAACTAGCTCATGTTTAATAGTACCAGAACCCCGCCTCCACCTTGTGGAGCTCTGTTACTCTGGTCCTCGTCTCATCCGTCCACAACACCTTTGGAAAATCTGTCTTCAGATTGTTCGTGTCTCGACGGTTCATCTTGTGTGTCTTGTTCAGTGTTCCTCACCGTGTCTCTGGGCCCTGAACGCCTCACGCTTCCGGGCTCTCAGGTTCCGGTTCCTGGAAGTTTGATTCTTCTCAAATTCTGTTTCCAATACTGCCTTGCCTAATAATTGTGTACAATGTCCACTGAGTATTCATGGCCTTGTTTTCAGAGCGTGGAGCCGGTGTTTCTGTTTCTGGAGCCGGTGCTTCTGTTTCTGGAGCCGGTGCTTCTGTTTCTGGAGCCGGTGCTTCTGTTTCTAGAGCCGGTGCTTCTGTTTCTGGAGCCGGTGTTTCTGTTTCTGGAGCCGGTGCTTCTGTTTCTAGAGCCGGTGCTTCTGTTTCTAGAGCCGGTGTTTCTGTTTCTGGAGCCGGTGCTTCTGTTTCTGGAGCCGGTGCTCTTGTGATGTTCTGTTGATGGATGTTTGTTGCACAAACTCCAGACAGGATTTTAAAAAGGTCCCTAATGTACTTTGTATCATTTTAAATCTTCAAACTTTGCCCTGCGGAAGGTCCAGTTTCTTATGTTTTTTTTCATAAACGGCTCTTTGAAAGAAGGAATCGGCGAGGAAATATGAACTTGTTAACTTCGGTGCAATAATCTGTTGTATGTATCGTGCTGTGTAAACTTTGATACTATCACTTTCTATTATCGTTGTATTTTTATACAGGTGTGCGAGGGCTTCTCTCACGTGTAGACCCCCCCTCCTTTACCAAAGAACACCACATTATCTCACCGAATCCTCAAATATATCCCAACTCCTCACTGAGTAAGCTGTTACTGAGGAAAATGAGAAAAGCCCTGAAAGGCCACCGTCCCGCTCGGATGTTCTGTCCTCTGAACCTGTACAAAGAAACAACAACTTTCTTGAACGCAGTGTAAATTGCTACGTAAACTTAGCTATCGTATTTATATGTTCTCTTGCTCTGAAAGTAGTAATCATTTTAAATGCAGTTCTAGTAGCCATGTTTAATACGTAACCAATATTTTAGTTTTACTGTGTTTTTGCTAGAAATGCTTTCACTCGTTATGTCTTTGGGCTTCTCTGGAGTACGATCAGGTGGAGCCTCAGAAGCACCTAAATGTTGACACCTGTCCCGCTTCTGACTCTATCTGGCCCGCCCCCTTCTGGGAGGTTGGTCCCGCCCCCTTTTGGAGGTTGGCTGAAGCCTGTTTTGGGGGATTTCCTGCATTGTCTATTCAAAAAAGCACCTTGTGTTTGAACAAACCTAAAAGAACGATGGTTTAGCGAAGACTGCTAAAAACCAAGATAAATAATTTATATAAATTGTTCTGTGGGCAAAACATGCCCATTCGAGCGAAGGCTCTGTTCTAACAGTTTGATCTCTGATAATACACATTTTTAAAACTCCACAAGAACATGTTTCATCTTTTTAGGAGAAGTTAATTGTTAACTGCCCAGACTTCACAAGTCTTTAAGCCTGCAGACGTCCCTTTGCTGCGGTTACACCCCCGCTGTGAGTGTGAAGCACCTGGCCTACAGGCCCTAGCTGAGGCGTAACCTCAGGGGACCCCGACGGTCCCTGTGCACCTGTTTTAATGAATTTTCCTGTTTTTAAAGAATGTGTGTGCTGCAAAGTCTAGTTGGTTTTCTTTTTGTGAGGAGAGAAGGGAACAAGGGATCAAGGGAGGACTTGGGATGTGGATTACTCTGACATGGACTCGAGATCATGACTCGTTTAATAGAGTTATATTGGTGCACACGAAGCGATATTTCCCTCTTTATTTCTGTTTACTATGATCATTGGCCATTAGTCGTCAGTCGTGATGATTTAAAAAAACATGACCTCACATTTTGGGCGTTTCTGAAACGAGTTATTCCTGAAGCTTCCTGTCGTTCCCAAGTTATTCCTGCATGCTCGTTGTGGAATGTTCAAGAGTTGTGTAATAAATCGGAAAATAACACACGAAACGTTGTGTTCAATTTTACTGTTTTAGTGTAGTGAGACTTTTTTTAGTCTCGTATCAAAATATCTTTAAAAAACTGAAGTGTTAATCCATTAAGTAAGAAACCAACAGATTCTCGTGATAATGATTGTCTTTTACCTCGATGAAGATTTAGTAGGGGAGGGAACCATTGAGTTACAACAAACCAAATAACCTGTTTAAATAAATGCAGATTCCTATGCATCATTCAACATACAGAAGTCAATTACATTTCCCAAATCAGTTCAATTTCAGCCTGGAAATTATTTGACAAATGTAATTTGACATGCTGTGCAAATCATTTAAATAACTGTCAATGAGGTAAAGGATATTTACACTGTATTCCTCTTTAGAAAAGGAAAAGCTTATACTGTGTATTCTTAATATATACATATATAATAAATCATCTTACGGTGCTCTACAGAGAAACCTGCCACACACAGGTTTGTATCTAAACGCAAAACAAAAGAAATGATATAAATGAATCAACGACTCGCCGGAATACGTGTTATTGTCCGGAAGCTGAACCGGAAGTGCAACAATTATTTTCTTCCGCCGCCGCTAGAAACCTTTCCTATGAGACGAAAAGCATCATCTCAACATGTCGTGAAATCCGATTAGCGAAATAAATAAGGAATATGAGGGCGATTTTAAATAAGGTTTCCATTCCGTATGTTTTATTACTAACGTTAATGTTTTATCATTCTGATGTTTTGGGGTATTCGGCTGTGAGCGCACAAGGTAAGAGCTTCTTTTTAGCTAAACACAGCTAACGTTAGCTGACCGTTAACAGCTAACGTGTCGTAATGCCAATAAGCTAGCTGGTCGTCCCAACGACGTGTTAACGTTTTAACAAGATATCAGGTATTATTATTATTACACGTTAATAAAGACGTGACGTAAATTACACCCCCAATTAGAGGTTTATTAACACGTTAAAGTTAACGTTGCTCTTTGGTGTTTCAGCCGAGAAGCTGGTGATGCTCCTCTGGTCTTACAGGTTAGCACCTGTTAGCTAGAGCTAATGCGACAAACCTCTTTAAAACGACACACGAATAAGAAGCTCGGTGGACTTTATGATCTCCGCCCCCTGTGACTGGATGAGTCTGCAATGCGTCTTCCTTTAGCGGGACATGACTTCTAGAGACAAGAGGTCATCCCCAAAACAGCGTCTTCCCAGAGGCGCTGCGAGGAGAATCATCTCATCTGCTCCTTTCTGTTGTCTCCTCAGGGAATGACGAGTCACAGGAGAACCGCCCCCGCTTCGTGGAGTCAGAAGACTCGCCGCCCAAGAGGCAGTTCAAGTTGGCCGAGATGGCCGACGCCGTGATGGGATCTGTGGCCCCCACCGCCCCGTCTGACATCGAGTCCCTTTTCCCCCAAAACGTGAGGGACCAGCAGGCGGGCTTCTCCCCCCCCTCTGAGGAGAGCGGCGCCCAGTGCGATCCCAGCGGGGCGGAGGATGTGAGCGGCGAGCCGTCCCAGCAGGTAACTCGCCAGCAGAAGGTCAATGCGAGGTTCATTTTCCATTTCTATTAATTACCTCTTAACCCCCCCCCCCCCAGGTCACCCTGGACATGGTCCGCGCTGACATCCCGTCCTCCGAGGAGCAGAACGCCACCGAGACCGCCAAGACCTACAAGGTGACCTGCGACCGGAGGAACATCACGGGGGTCGACAGCTTCACTGTGCAGGTCCTCAACGCGTCGCAGGTACTGTGCCGCCCTCAGCGACGACTGCCAGGCGCAACAACCGGGCCCTTAAACCATATTCATTGTGTTTAGTGAGCACGTAAACTTTTACATTTACTCTCTACTAGACACGACTACCGTAGGAGGGCAAAACTAATACGAATGTAATGGAGGAATTGCTTAATATTTAGTAAAAGACGTCATGTGAGCAGCTGGTGGTCACTTTTACTCCACCCCCCCATATCAGGACCTGATGGAGTTCCTGAATGCAAACGGCAGCGAGTGCTCCGTGGTGCTGTTCTTCACCGCCTGGTGCCAGTTCTCCGCCAGCCTGGCGCCTCACTTCAACGCCCTGCCCCGAGTCTTTCCCAGCATGCACTTCCTGGCACTGGACGCCTCGCAGCACAGCAGGTGAGGCTTGTGGCTTTTATTACCTGTGGGGACTTCGGCTTGTGTCTGTTGAAAATATCGCTTATTATTACATTACAGGTCATTTAGCTGACGCTTTTTATCCAAAGGCACGTACATTACATTTTTTTAGAGGTTTGGTGTCTTGCTCTGGGACACTTCGACATGGAGCAGCGCCCTCTCCAGCCCTGCGCCACATCAGCTAGTACAGCACCTAGATGACAAACAATACAAGAGTTCTTCTTTGTGCTTTTAGGCTTTAATAATCTGACTAAACCGACTCTTGTGCGTCTGTATCCCGGGACCAAACAAACGCAGCCACGTCTACACGGGACTCCTCACGGCAGCCTGTCAGAGGCCGACAGGAAGTGGAACCTGTTTCAAGTCGAGACGCGTTTGAGGCTTTTGAACGTCATTTTCAAAAATCCTGATTCATCGGATTCATCTTGGGACCCGTTGTCTTACTTTTTACACTGCAGATTAAGGAACGCCCAGCTCTGCTTGGTCCGATGTTGGGTGACGTAGTGCTGGATTGTGTTGTATGGGGGTGGTGCTCTTGACAGTGTCGCGCCTTGTACCGTCTGCAGCCTCTCCACGCGGTTCGGCACGGTGGCCGTGCCCAACATCCTGCTGTTCCAGGGGGCCAAGCCCATGGCTCGCTTCAACCACACGGAGAGAACGCTGGAGACGCTCACCTCCTTCATCGGCAACCAGACAGGTAGGAGGGGGGAGGGGGGAGGACTAAGAAGCTGACGTAGTCGCCTCGATAACACCCGCCGGTCTGTGGACGGAGGTTTTAGTTATGAAGTTTCAAGTTTTTTGGCGACCACAAAATGAAGGGAGGGAAAACACACTGAAGAAAAGAGCTCACAAAAAACTGACTGACCGGACAACGCGGAGGTAGAGACCTGTCAATCAGCGTGTAGCCCCGCCCTAAAGCGTCCCCTGCTTTATGGTCTGTTTGACTTTAAATGGACCATCATTCACTAAATGAACATCATGCTGTGTTGAAGAAGACTTGAGACTAGAGACTGAGACCATAAAGTCATGTTTACAATGTTTACTGAGGGAATAAATCAAGAAAGTCATAAAGTCACATTACGTCACATGTCATTTATCCAAAGCAACTTACAATAAGAACATTTAACCACAAGGAAACAAACTCGGAAGAACAAGAAACAAGAAAGTGCAATTTCATCAAATAAGCCAATTTACAATTTGCTACAGATAAGAACCGTTATAGGTACAATGTAAGTGCTACAAGCACATAAATGCCTCTGTGTGTGTGTGTGTGTGTGTGTGTGTGTGTGTGTAAGGCATGCAATATTCTGTATTATTTCCCTGTACAATAACTCTGCAGTAGAGGGGAACTTCCTCACAGTTCAAATAGTTACCAACTCTGAACTTTGCCCTCTTGGTTCAGGCGCGTTCACGGTGCTGCGTGTTCTTATCTACAGCCAGACTGGGGCATTGTGGGTAACATTCACGACAGCGTGTGTGCTTTGTTTTTCTTTGGCCTCGTCAAACAAATCAAAGAAAAAACTGTTGATGAGCTGCGTGTTGTTGAGTCCCTTCCTGTTATGATAACGGGGTCATTCAGCGTAACGTGTGTCTCAGGGTTCGAGATGGGCCCCGACAGAAACGTGACGGAGACGGACCGCCTGGGCCCCCTCCTCGGCGTCCCAGTGAGGAGCGTCGACTGGCTGCTGGTCTTCTCCGTGCTCTTCATCGCCGGCTTCACCACGTACGGCATCCTGCGCACGGACAGCATCCGCTGGCTCATCCCAGGACAGGAGCACGAGCACCAGGACTGACAGATTAACTCTGTGTGTGTGTGTGTGTGTGTGTGTGTGTGTGTGTGTGTGTGTGTGTGTGTGTGTGTGTGTGTGTGTGTGTGTGTGTGTGTGTGTGTGGCTTTGAGATTCATATTAAAAGAAGGTAATAATTTGTTGCGTTTGTCTTTTATGCTCTTGTTTTTAATTTTATATTCTATTGAAGGACAAAGTGCAAAAAGCTGTGAGGAGCATAACATCGTCCAGTGAAAACAAAATAAAGATTGTATACTTCAAATACATTAACACCAGTCAATGTATTTGTATTTGTAACTCAAAAGTGGTTTCAAATTAAAACGTGTGGGTTAATAAATTATGAAGCACCAGACTCTCTTCAGAAAACGGGGGATTTTAGATCAGGCACCCCGCCTGGCAGCTATGAGGCCCGGGGGGGGCAGAAGAGGGGCCGGTGGAGGGAAACCGCCGCCACATTATCGTCATCGTCACCGTCCATGTTTGGGTTGATGTTTAACGCGAGGATGAGCGGCTCGTGGCCCTGCCGCCGCCCCTCCGGGCTGCGCAGTCTGCCGCACCTCACCGAGCGCTCCTCCAGCATGGTGAGTGCCTCCCGGCCCGTTAGCGTTAGCACGCGTTAGCATCTCGCTCCAAGGTGAGTCGCACTTACCTGCGGGGACCCCGCGTGGACCCTTTGTACACTGAACCGGAACCGAACCCGTGTGAGCCGCGCGGGAGCGAACGTAGACTCACCTGTGCAGATCCGACAGGTGTCCACGAGCCTTTCTCCCTATTCTTTACTTATTGATTCCATGGATTTAACCCGGGACATTTTTAACCTTAAATATGGTGTTTTGTGACGTGTAATAATCCGTATTTTATGTTCTATTCTACGTGATTCTATTAAATATGAAATGTCGCTGCTGGGCCGTAATAGTGACGCCCACTAAGTGTGACGTATGAATATATAATGAAGCACATCTCAACGTGTTTAGTACACAGGCAGTAAAGACAACAGCTGGAGGGCCCGAAAAGTCCTCCAAACAAACAAGAACCTGATAACGGCAATTATTGGTTAAAATGTGCATTTTAGAGGTGTTAAGTTGTTAAACAACAGTTTATTTCCTGATTTTATATGTGAAACATACATTTGGCTTGTAGAGCAAATCACAAAACAACAATAATCAAACTTCTTCTGACGTAAATACTATAACAACAACAACAGTGTGTGTGTGTGTGTGTGTCCAGTCATCAGACTCCCACTGGCTTCCGACCGCCGACCGCGACCAGCAGGTGATGGAGCTCAAGACCTCTGGATGGGTGGAGGTGGAGGAGCGCGACGCCATCTTCAAAGAGCTCCACTTCAAAACGTTCAACCAGGTGTGTGTGTGTGTGTGCGTGCGTGTGTGCGTGCGTGTGTTGAGGACTGACAATCAACAATATATCAATGAGAGAGGAAGAGGGATCTTCTCATAAACGTCTATGGGTCGGAGGAGTCGCCCCCTGCTGGTCACTACAGAGAATGCAGCCTCTTTTATTGTGAAAGGGTTTTTTTGAGGACGTCCTTTGGGTTTTGCCTCTTTAGTGTAATAATTTAGTGCAAACAACTTGATGTGTGTAGTTTTACTTTACCAGCTCACTGGAAACTCAACACAAGTATCACAGTATCACACCTCCCGTGTGTTCTGGATGGGTCGTGTCCATCTCAATAGATGTTTTGTCTTTGTAGAACGTCAGCATTCTTCTC